CGCGCAGAATTCAGCCGTACCTAAAAGGTTAAATACGCTGCATTGAACGCGAATCGCAATTCACGAATCGACGAAAATAATGATCGAGATACAACAGCTCGCATTGGCTTAGCAGTAAACCGACAGTCTTTTCATTAGCTAAACCTTAGCTACATCGCGCGCAATCGAGTTACGAGCTAAGACCGTGACTAAATACATCCATGGGCGACGCGACGTCGCGCCGTCGGACGTTTATTTCGGCGTTGTATACAACGCGTTTTCTGCGCCATTTGTCACATTAAGATTATTGTTACAAAACGCGGCGTTTAGTACGCGAGAATCAAGCGCGAAATTAGCTGCGTGCGAGTCCGTTATTCATGGGTGCCGCGTATTATTCGAAGTAGGTTTGCATTGCTCAGTTAATTAATTATTGGACCGAATTCTGAAACCAAACCGAGCCCGTCGGCATTCGGGTAAACAAACAAAACATCATGCACATAGATCTGTAGGGATAAATTGCACGTAATGAGTTCATTTGTCTAACTTGTTAAAATAACATTGCTCTAAAGATATTACGCACTTCGTATCCGTATATGAATTTGTTTTTACACGAAGTATTCAATCACAGTTATTGGATTAGCATTTCAAAATCGATGTTAAGAATTGGAAAGACAATAGACAGTGGGGCTCAAAAATTATTATTATTAGTATTTGTAAATTATTATTATTAATGGGCTCAAAAAACATCTCTTCGATTATCACTAAGCTGCGAATTTGACACATTTATCGAAAAATTGGGTAGACGGAATTTAAAATAGTCAAAAGATTGAAAGAATTTGAAAATGTCAATATATTATCTTTCGTCTACTAAAACGATTTCATGTTATTGATGCAGACAATTTTGCGAACAACGTTCTGAAAATATTAATCAATACCTCAAACATCAACAACATCATTTTCAAATGCACAATCAGTATTCATTGCCGTGCGATCGGAAGGTAAACATATAAATCCACTGCCCGCATTTCGCATCGAATTTTTCAATTTGACGGTCTCGCGGCGGGGGGAGGGGTAAAGGGGTCGAACTGGTACATCCCCTTTCGGGGATGAAAGGAGCGAGAGCTTGCGGGGTTAATGAGGGCAGGCTCGATAATGAAATTGTTTCCATGCCCGTGTGCAATATTCCCGAATAAATATCCGGCCGCGTAAATAGGTTAACGAACCGGGGGGTTGATCGATTCGCGGGAGAGCCCAGCGACCCTTATCGGTCTCTGCGAGCTGCAGGAGGAGCAGGCCAGTTTCCCCTGCACATAGAGCACCAGAGAACGACGGAGAGAGAACATGTGCACATGTGTAAGAGAAAGAGAGAGGGGGAGAGAGAGAGAGTGTGAGAGAGTGAGAGTGGGAGGGGAAGAGAGACCGGTTTAGCTTCACCGGGCTGGGGTATATCGATCTCAAACGGTGGCGAAGATCGTCCTGCACGAAGCTTTCTGGCGGTCGAGTGGGGCTTCAGGGCCGTACCACGGGGCTTGACGCCACCTGCGGGACGACCTTGACCTACGGGGTTTCTCTCGCGCCGGCGTCACGTCCTCGCCCTCCTACCGTCGTCCTCTTTCCTCTTTCCAGCTTCTTCGAGGGCAGACCCCGGCGTGTCCTGCGTCTCGTCCCGTCCTTCTTCAACGACCTACGTACTCCTCGTCACTTTCCCTGACCCTAACCTAACCTTACAACCGTCCTATCTGTCGCTTTCAATCCGGAACCATCGGTCTTCCTGTCAACAGTTTTTGCCACCGGTTCCTATTCTTTGTCGCTCTGCCTAGTTCAGATTTTAATCGACCTCCTTCTCGCTTCGTCAAATTTTTCTCATGAATTCTTCTTCTTGAACTTTGTCCAGTATTATTTCAATACCCTGGTCACTTATCTCGAGATTTCAATTATTCGATTTGCTTCGCGATTATTAGACTGCGGATCTTTATGCAGAATAAGAATTGTTTTAGCTAATTGTAAGAAACATAGATCAGTTGAAAATGTCCTTTTTATTTTAGTGATTATAATAAGTTGAAAATAATGTAACAATATCCTTAAATTCTTCTAATGACCTTGCAATCTATTCATTTTTGTTATAAATGCATAAAATCCGCTGAGCACTGATTACATTCGAATTATTTGATCAGCCTAATTTTATTTCTTCGTCCTCTTAGAATTCTTTCAGACTGCTCCAGTATCTACTTCACTTTGTTCTGATTTTCCTTCGATCATTTCTTATCCATTGTCTAGACCCTTATTCTTTCTATCTAGTCTTAAATCCTTGGATATTTATTTCAAGATTTTAATTATTCAATTTGCTTCGTGATTATAATTGAACAATTTCATTATCCTATCTCTTTCTCCACCCTTATAACACATTTCATCTGCACCCTACGCTTTCCTACAATATTTTTTATTGAACTGCAAGCTCTTTCAGCACTTGAACCTCTTGAATACTTATCAGAGATATTAATTGTCGTTCTTCCGTAGTGGTTTTATTCGAGAAATTTTATAACCCCGATGTCACCCTTTCTGCACTGGACAGTTTCAATCTACCCTCATCCCTTATGCACTTTGTCACGAGAAATTTGATCGACAAATTTTTCAAACGTATTGTTACGATTAAAATTCAACGATCTGTCCGATAAATAATCATACGAATCCTACGTTTCTCTTCAAAAATATTCTGTGCGGTGACACAGCTTCTTTCTTCTCCATTTTTGCAAAACGCCGCTGCTACCCGAAAGTTTCGATTGTTGCACATCCCCCGAAAGTGGAAGCAACGATTAAGGCCAAGGACGTGATAATTAATTCCTCGATCTCCGAAGAATTCTAGTCGCAAAATGACGAAGCTTTCTCAGATACGTATCAATACTTTTGTTTAACGTTTAAAGCTTCGAAAAATGTTCAAGATGTTTTTAAGGTCTGTTATCTGTTTTGTACGAATGAGAAGAGTCGGAAGTTCGCCGCTAGCAATATGTAATTGCAGTAACGCTCTCCTGGCCTGTGTATCCTGCAGATCCAGCTCGTCTAAGCCTCTTAACCGGTGAGATTTTTCTCTCGAGTTTCCCCCGGGCTTTCCCCGGATTTCCCGCGGTGTTCGTTATCGCGAGAACCTCGTCTTACCACTTTGGAATCCCTCTTTCTACTTTGCTCCTCGCTCCTTTACGTTTTCAATCAGCTGGTAATGCGGACGTTTTTCCGCAATCTGTTTCCGGATTAATTCCTGCCGGATACCGGCTTTTATGAGGAAACCACCGAGCGTCTGATCTCCGTTGTTTCCATTGTCCTTAATCAACCGACTGTTCAGCTATATAGGTCATCCTATACAGCATCGCGTGACACTATCATTTTCCAAGAAATCCTATTTCGGAAGTTCGAACTTTAATCCTCGACGCAAGTAGAAAATATGTGGGTGGATAACTAATGACAAAGATAACAACTGATTTACGTTAGTTTTGAATTAGGTTCTGATTGCGATGGCTGGTTAAAATTAATCCAATCAGCTCAAATAGTAAGGCATTTTGCTAATCAAGGCGAACTATGCTCCAAATTGGAATGTAATTATCCAGTGGAAGGTGTATTAAGCCTCCGATATCCGATGGAATTCCATTTCCCTACCCTCTGAAAAAGTAATCTCGAACTTGTTGCGCTATAATTAAAGCCATAAAGTTCAGAGACCAGCCGCTTTAAATAGCTCCCGCTTCTTATTCAATTAACCGGCTAATTTGGGAGATATAAACCACCGCTCGATTAAGCACTGTTCAAACATGAAGAACTGCATCTAATTAAACGCGAAATTCTATGAAAAGCATATTTGTACACGAATGCATCGATAGGACGAAAGTTTCCGTGACCCGGCAATCAATTTCATGAATTATAAATTACTCGGAAATATGGATACTCGTCAATTATTTGTGCGGAGGCAGATGGTAACTGCACAGAAAAAGATAATCGGGTGGCTTCTGCATTCGAGGGTTCATAATGTCCTCGAATTTGAGAGCGAATATTCTTCGTTAATTTCACAAACGAGTGGACACGGAGAATAAAATAAAATCATTTCGATCAAGTACCGATTGAAATATTTTTCTTTATAATATTTCTATCACGATCACCTAGTCGATCAATCGGTAAATCGTCGTCCTGAAACTCTGTTCGGCAATATATTTTATTTTAAAAAATAACTTCAACAAATATTGATATAAAAAAATATTTAATTACATTTAAAAATATTTGATTGTACGAAGCAGACTATACACAGGATTCGATTAAAATTTAAATTGAATCTATAATAAATATATAAGAAAACCTTTTAATTAATTTACATTTTCTTGTATAAATTGCCAAACGGCACGCGCCAAGTTATATATGTATATATTGATATATTGATATAAAAAAATAATTACTTTTAAAAATATTTGATCGCACGAAGCAGACTATACAGGATTCTATTAAAATTTAAATTAAATCTATAATAAATATATAAGAAAACCTTACAATTAATTTACATTTTCTTGTATAAATTGCCAAACGGCACGCGCCAACTTATAAGAATAAAAATACATCGTTTTGCATATCGCGTCCCCGGAACGAAAACAATTCTCTCCAGTAAATTTGTTTTAAGCGAGCACGAATCGAAACACTCACCCCCAAATTGACTGTTTCACGCACCCTCGACAAATCCGTCCGCAATTACGTTCACCCGTGGAGCTCAGGCTCGATCAACAACCCTTGGCCCCTAGGGCGATCCAGCAGCAACGATCCGCGTCCAAATAAGGATCGAGTCACCCCGGGGTAACGATTAGCAGCATTGCCGAGGGATAAGTTCGTTCGCGGGGTAAATCAAACTCTCGTCAGAATCCGCGTGCCACCCCTTCCAGCCTCTTCGGCCCCTTTTCACCCCCTTTCACCCCGTTCGACCCGCGGAACGGGAGTGAGTCTGGCATCCCCACTCTCGGCCAGCTACCGGACCTCGCCACCCGCCCCTGTGGCACGCCGCTTCTGTCTCTCCTGGCACGAGCGGAACCAGTCGCAGTCCGAACCACCTAGCAGCCCGACGAAGGAGACCCGAGGATCCACACCTGGCGACACCCGGCCGACACCTGGCCGACACCTGGCGCGAGTCGACGGAGATCGTGCCGGAGAACCCTTGGCCATGAGCTCGGCCCCGGAAGCATGCAGGTGGGTCCCTCGATCCGCGTCCGATCCTCCTTACCGTGGACCAGCGGGGCGGTTTCCACGGTTTTCCACCTGCCATACCCCGACCAGCATTTTTCACCGTCGCCTCTCTCCGGCCACCCCCTTCGGTGCTACCAGTGTTGTTCTTCGACGTCTCGTGTGTGACTTGTGGGATCCGGCTGAGCAATTTTTATAGGGCTCCAGTGGAACTATTTGTTTTCGGGGCTGCGTCGGATGGGGGTTGCGAGCTATCGGGGTTGTTGTTTTTGGGAGGTTTGTGCAGGAATGCAGAGATTTCGACGAGCTTGTTGTTTGGCCAGCGGTCTTCGCTGATCTTTGATTTCGAGGACACGGTGTTCTTAAGGATTTACGGAGTGTAGGTTTGATGGGGCTTGGCGAAGTTTCAGCGTGCAAAGATTTTCAATAGAGTCGACTAGTCGTAGATTTAGCTTCCTTTTTGTGGATTGACGTTGTGTTGGATTTGCGCAAAGTTTGTTGAACAAAGTTTAGACTATCCGATTAGTAGACTTCCAATAAAGTACACGAATCTCGAAAACGTGGTCTCCCGATGGATTCTTATAAAGTTGGTTTGACGAAGTGTGAATGATCTTGCGTCTAAGAATCTTCAATCGCGTGAACGAGTCTCAGTTGCATTTTCACTTGAATGTTTACACTCGATTTGTGTCTCTATATGGCCTCATTAGAAGGTGCAGATTGTCGCTTCCTGTACATCGAATCTTGTTCGTTTTCGACGACCAGGTTGGTTTTCAAGGTTGCGACCTTTCAAATGAAGTTTTAAGGACAGGTTTGACAAAGCTTGACAAAGTCCGGCTCGGATGGAAGATCAGATAGAATTCTTAATAAGGCGCGCGTCCTTGTTTGATCTCGGTCGCTTTATTTGCACGAGTGTCCACAGTCCACTCGTACTTTTAATTTGCTTCAACTGAAGGTTCTTCGGAGGCGTCTTCCTCTTCTCCCTCGCTTTGAATGCATTGTTAATTCGCCTTTGAAGTGGACCGAAGCCATTTTTAGGATATGATTCCGGAGGCCTCGTTGTTGGAGCGCAGAAATTAGATTCAGTTGCTTCTAGAGCTGCCTTTGAGGCTCGCGACGTAGGATCATTGTTGTCGGTCGCATGACAGGCTCTGGCAATTTGCTGGCTGATTTCGTGTACGATGAAAATTGGGAAACCCTTTGATATCGTCTAGTTTTGTCTTTCCCTCATCGTGGACAAATGTCAAATATAAAAACCACGGATATTTTCACTGAAAATGAGTGCAGAAAATTCAGCGTACGATTTTCTGTATTAAAATCACGAATATTCCGTTAAACAATGGACTTGTCGCAAAGCGAAGTAAAAGCTGAAGGACCTGTTGACTATCGCTCAAACTCGACTAATATCATAACTCAGTATTTATTTAATCTAAATCTATCGAATGTCCCAGCAACTATTTTTTATTAATATCTGTCAGATTTCTCGTAGAAGTAAACAATATAGTTTTTTTAATCTAGCTTGATTGAGTCAATAACTACAGTGTGTGCAGCACTATAGAATTATTTTTAAGGGAAAATACTACATCGTTTGGTATTTAATCTTCATTCGTACCGCGCGTCATGTTTCAATTAAAAAGTAATATGTCACAAGTACTTTTAATACCACGCTCGGGTCTAAAAAAAGACACGTCGCGTTGTCCTTTTTTTTCCGAGACCGTCTCCTTGACATTACTATAGCTCCTCCTCTCCTATAGTCTGACTTCGGGAACCGGATGAACGCGGTCTTCCGACAGCGGTCGCGTCTTGCGAAACAATTTATCATTTTCTTTTCGTCGCTCAACCCTCATCAACCAGTGCCCGGTTTGATTCCCGATTCCGCCGAGATCGTATGGACCAGAGGATGGATTTCAGAGATATTCCGCCCCCTTATTTATTCCGGGGTTATTCGAGTGGAGCCGGATCACTGAAAAGCAGTCGCCAAGGGAGGGAACACCCTCGATGAGAGCTATCTTCGATCGTTTCCTCGGTTTCCAGCGAACCGTGGTGGGTTCTCGCGTTTCTCGTGCCGGATTGAAAGCAGGGTGGTTCCTATCCAGTGAGACTTTTACTTTTTTTTCGCTTTGGACGATCTATAACGAACGTCAGCCATGTTCCTTTTGAAATTCTGTGGCACGAAACCGGCAGAACTGCTGATAATTTTAATTAATTTCCACGGTGGATCTGGCGGCGTGACACTTGAAGCGTTATCAGCCGTCGAGCTAATTTCATTCTTTAACGCGACCCTCGAGTTCGTCGATGCGGCTTCTTCTCGAATTTTTTGAAGCGCGAGAGATAAATTTTTATTCCAGATCCTCCGAAGAGTTCCGCACATCTTAATGTAAATTAATTGAATATTATTTAATTCGCAATCAGCAGCAGTTTCTTCCAACTTGTATCAAATAATCTGTGGAAATGACACCTAAGCACAAAGATCTGCATTATTTGAAATTTTTATCAATAGACATTCTTCTCCATCTAAATCTGAATTTTATTTTTAAATTGTTAGATCTTCGAAATTTTTCTGACTTTATCTTTGGTACAATTATTTCGAAATAAATTATAATGTAGAAGTAAATAATTGTACCAAAGATGAAGTTAGTCAAATTTCGAACGTCCAACAATTCAAAAATAAATTTTATCAGGAAACTGTATTGTCTCTGCTAGAAAATTAATTGCGAGATTGTTTCATTCTCCATTGCGAACCTGGTTTAAATATCAATTAGTGGAGCGCGAGAGGTAGAAGATAATTAAATGCGAATGAATTATTGATTGGTAATGTTGATTAAATATTTATAGTTTATTGTTATTGGGTTGACGTCGTCATAAGTCCGACAGCATTTCGAGGTGAGAGTAGAATAATTTTTTGAAAAATTTGTTCACTCGAACAAAATGGCGACGACTAAAATTTGACGATTCGTTAAAAACGCTGGAAAGTTTCAAATTTCATCGAGACGCCACGAGGGCAGTCGTTAACATAGAATGTTTAAACATTCGCGAGACTGTCAAAGGGGGTTGACAACTCACCCTTCAGCACACGTCGCGTAAAGGCAGAGCAGAAACCTCTCTTCGTTCGCGAGGATCGCGAGAGCCAGGCGATCCTGTGTGCAGAAACTTTGCAACTCGAGCCGCTTTGAACTCGCCATCCCCGACTAATTCTCTCCAGCCTCCGGTTTCAATTAATCCGAGCTCGGACAGTCCCGAAATTTTTTCACCAGTCCCTTGATCGACTTTCCGTGCTTCGCGAGTGTCGACACCCTTGACCCACCCTCAAGTGTCCTCCTGAAAAATGTAGTCAATTTCCTTTTCCGGTGCCGAAAGTGGAATTTCATATGAATTTTCTTGGAAATAATGAAATCAGCCGCCAATTATTCGACGATTAATTTCCTTCGTGCAGTGATGGACACAATGATGGGACCAAAATAATTTATTACTATTACTTTGTTCGCACGATTACATCGCAATTTTCATTTTGCACTTGTTGTAATAAACTTGTTGCAATAAAAATTACTCGAAGCTCTAATAAACTCACCCCTAATTTTTATTCTGCTCATCGCAAGCCACTTGTAAATGCTTAATATTATAGCGTTAAAGAAATTAAGTCACATCGATATAGTTTTTTATAGTTATTTTCATAAACTAACAGAAAGCAGTTGCTTTTAATGCTCCGTAAATCAGCTGTTAATCGCGAGCATTAAATCCGATCAATCGAAGTAAGAATTTAAATCGCCTAACCGCGGAGAAGCGTCCGATTTCCCATTAGGGGATGGTTAAAGTCTTAAGAGAAGGATCTAGTTGAAGAGGCCAAGGATTGCGGTGGATGTATCCGTTAATTGACAGTTAAAAATTAATCGAACGTCACATGCGCCTCTCGGCTTCTTCTGTTTACACGCATCGCAAGGCGTCGCAGCGCGAAGGAAAACCAACCCCCTTTTTCTTTCCCTTCATCGACCGTGCCGTGTCAAGGCCGTCACTGCCAAGAATCTTTCAGTCACGGTCACGAACACATCGTTCTCTCTGTCTCTCGGTTCCGAGTTCCGACACGCTTTGCAAATCATTAAGCCGCGCCGGCCCGTTTATGGGCTCGTCCGTTTTCCGCCCACGCGCCACCGATTCCCATCGTAACCATCCCTTTGCGTTTTCTACCGACCTCATGAAATTTTTAATGGATTATGCGAGCCGTCGCTGGCCCAACTGCGGAGACCCGGGAACGCCGAGGATAACTCGGGCTTAATGGGTACTGCCTTCTGTGAATTTTCGCGGCTGCTTTCGGCCTCTTTGCAACGGCAGAGCGGACGAGAATTTATTTCAGGCCGATCTATGAATCGCGAACGTAAGCTGAGAAGATGTTTTCATGGGGTAGATTTCAAATATTTATTGGTCAGATGTTTTAATCTTCTATGGGAATTTTCGGGGGTGGTATTTGTGCATGTCGGAATTGCAGAGCTTGCGAGCTTGTGAAAATATTAATGATCGTCTTACAATTTTATCGTGTACTTACTATCTGATATTGAATTCAATTTTCAAGTAATAACTAGACGGATATTTTGGCAAAATAAAAGTTGTCTGCATCAATTGCAGGACGTAGGAGCCAAGTACGACATACTTTGCTAAACAATCATTCTTAGTTTCTTTCAATCTTCCAACTATTTTATGTTTCACCTATCCATTTTCGCCATAAATGTATAAAATCCGAAGACAAAGTATCAATTGCATTTACCAATAATGAAACAGCAGTGTGCATTGCGGAAATGCGTCGTGCACGAAGGCGTTTTTATAACACCGAAGCAACATTAAACGTCATCGACAACTTTTAGTCGGTGTGCATTACTGATTCATTATAAAGAAATGAATTTACCGGGAGCAGCGCACTATGCAGAGCACACAAACTGCAGTCGCTGACTGCAGCGGGCGTCTAACGAACTGTCGATACACTTAGACTTCAATTTCTGTGAACAAAGTTCACCGGCTCGAGAAACGAGCGATGAAAAATGAAGATCGTTGAGAACTTTTCACTCTTTGTACGTCGAAGTTTCCCGGTAAATTTATAATTTATCGAGTCTCTGCGATAACGAGGCGCCGAAGATAAAATTTACCCTCGTTCTATGCTCGACAGCCATTCTGATATTTCCCGGAGGCGAACTGGCCGGGATTAATTAATCAGGGCCGTTTTAATTTCGTAGAAATGTCGCCGGCTGCCCGATTAATTCGTTGCCGATGGATTATAATCCGGTGACGCGTCGTTCTGCCATTTCCACGGGGTCATGCTCTAATAAACTCACCGACAAGATTGTTCCGTTTAAAATTCATCAGGAACATCGGTTATTTTTAATGAGTATCCACGATCATTCAGGTTCAAAAACCATGCCAATTTGAAAGTCGATGAATTCTTAATCGCTGCTGCTAATCAAATCTAATCGCACTTTACTGATAATTAATTTTAAATTTTCAGAATTTTTAATTGCGGATGCAAATCAAACCAGTTTTACTGATAAATAAGTTTAAATATACAAAATCGATTATAATTTCTAACTGTTGCGTCATGATTAACACAACGAATTTGAATATAAAATTAATAGTAATCATTTCGTAGGTCAAGGCGTCGGTTCGAATGATTTATTTCCGATCGAGATGCGCGAGTAATACCTAGTTGCTATTTTATTTGGAAAAAGCTAGAGGGTTGGAAAATAGAAGGTTGCAGGATATAATGGAAAAATGTAATTATGCTCCGCTCGACGAACCCCGGTGTTTTTAGGCTAAATTTACACGAGCGACGTGTCGCGGCTCACGAGCCGTCAGTTATCTCACTCGAATTGTTTGCAAACGATGAGTTTGTCCGCCACGTTTGTTCCGTATGCTCGGCCGTGTATGGCTAACTATCACATCGATAACGGAAGAATGATTGTTGCAGGCAATTCTCGCCGGGAATCATTGTCGAGGGAGTCGCGAAATCGATGCACAGATCGTTGCCGAATAAATGCACGTTGCCGACAATCTCACAACGTGCGCGCGTCGTTGACAGTGATTTATAACGATATCGTCTGGCTAGCCTCATGTTATCAATCAAATTTAATAATAAAAGTATGCCATAACATGCATAAACTACAGAGGTCAACTTTATTTATAAATTTGCAAAGTGTATTATAAAGTGCGTCAACTTCGCCTGGAGTACTTCGTACATTTTTAACTTGTGCAAATTGAACGTGCAAAATTTATTTATAAATCTTGCGAGAGTCCACGGTGATCCGAAATAAATTCCCTGGACACATTAAGATCCCAAGACAATTTGCAGAGAGTGCACGCTTTATAATTGAAGGTTGATTAAAACGGCGTGCAAAATTATTCGAGATGCGTTCCTGGAACGAAAACAATAATACAATGTAAATTTTCGTGGTGTGCGAAACAACGCGAAATAAACGCGCAGAGTCTGCGAAATTATACAAAGTAAATCTTCGCTGCACGAAGTCAAGACTCAAAGTAAATTCGCTGTATACTCGAAGTGAATTCGCAGTATACTCGAAGTGAATTTCCGCGGCATAAAATGACTCAAAGTAAATTTTCACCCCGTAAATCGACTTGTAGCGAATGTCCCTAGTGTGCGTAAACGACAGAAGCGAACTTCCAAACTGAATTTAAGTTGCTGTTGACTCAGGCAGAGGCCACGAAAGTTTATAATTGCTCGAACGACAGTGTTACTTATGACTTCCGCGCCGAAACGCGAGGTCCGAGGAACTCGAGCTGACAGGATTATGCAAATTCTCGCTTGTGTGTTAACGGCCGGCGTCTTTGTCCGGCGATGTTTTTCACAGAGAAGTTTGGACCTGGGCCAAAATTCTTGTTTCGCTGTGTCGCTTTGTTCACCGCAGTTTCCACGCCCAGGAAAGAGCCGCACAAGGGTCGCGCGACCGGTTTATTCCGAAGAAATCGTGTTCTCCTTTCTTCGGTCACCTCGGCGCCCTGGCATTTCGACAGGAACGTCTCGAATGTCGGCTGAAAAAAATATCAGAAGACTCATTTATTCTTTGCGCTAATTCTCAACCCTCTGAGCTCTTGCGATCTCGAGAGAACCGTCACTATGACGCCAGGAACATAAATAAACGATGCGAAGCATGAAAACAAGGATATTTTTAAGAATATAATGTTTTGTAGAATCTTTGCGAGTTCCGAGTAACAAAAAATATACTCCGTATGATTAGAACGAATTTCATGACTCGTACTTTAATAATTTAGTTGGACAAAGCATGGAAACAAGAATATATATTCCTAACAATATAAAATTTAGTAAAATCTTCTCGAGTTTCTAGTAACGAGAAATCGGCTCTAATTCGTTGAAAACGCAGTCACCAATCCGTGATGAATTTTATCAACTGTATTTTTAATAATCTCGATGGACAGAACGAAAGAATTTTCCGGAATGATAGACGTCGGCCGAAACAATGGCCACGGAACACCCAAAAAAATTGTACCATCGCGATACTTCCGACTTGTTCGGTATCGATTCACCCCCGCGAAACGACCTAGACATTCTAGTTCCTCTCGTTTTCTCCTGCTCGTGGATGGCAAAACTTTACGCGAGCCCCCAACATTCATAAAAGAAATGCCGCCGCTCCTTTAACCCTGATTGCGAATCATGTGGTCGAGCGATTGCCGCGTTGCTGCTTTATGCTCGTTGGGGAGAGGGAGCGGGGAAGTTTTGCCGACCGTGAGTCATCCTCTCTTATTATGCACAATGTGCCTTCCGAGGAACAACAATGAAAGTTAAGTAACCGTTGTGACCATCGGGAAACGATAAATATCAATCTTCCTTCATGTTTCGGTTAGTCGACTACTATCCTGCGACCAATTTCGTCTCGGTCCCGACGATTGCTCTGTTCGTTGGTGCAGTGGACTATGGATTTTTGTTTCAGTTTTACTCTTTTAATAAAATGTTTATTCGAGCCGAACAATCACAGCACAGCGTGTACTCGCGTATTCAGAAATACAATATAAAGTAATTAACACAATGAACAAACATTAGCGTTAACACTTAAATGACCGCATATTACAGTAATTTCTCCCTGATTCGCGCTGAGATTGCGCACAAAAATAGATAATTTGGGAAGAGGAGATGCGATTATTCGAGCCTTGCGTCTCGTTTTTATAGTTGTTGACAATCGGTAACTATAAAATCCATTTTTGTGCGCAATCTCAGCGCGAATTAGGGAGAAATTACTGTATTTCCCGTAGGCTTGCTCTAAAAGACCGCGGCATGCACATTTTGGCACGCTTTAAACATCTTCTGGTAAAATGTTTACTCCAGAATTGCCTTCAAAAGCTTCTAGATTTATGGTTCTGTCCTTCTTATCGAAACATATTCATCTTCCGGTTGTTCGGAATTGTTCGTTTCAGCATTGACGAGAAATCTCGTGAACGGTCGTTGATTGTCAGCGAACAAACTCGGACGAAGCCGAAAGCAGCGTTCGTTTTCTCGCTGATTTGTCAACTACACCCTCTCGGTACGCACCGCGTTTGGGGAGTTTGATAGACCAGAGCAGGTTCTTGGTATCGGTTCTTCCTGGATTATTTCGAGAGATCGGATGCTCATTAAGGTCTGTTTACGCGGAGGCGATGAAGGTCATCGGGCGGTAACGATTCTCGGCGGTTCTTTGTAACGCAATGACGTCGGACAGACGCACGAGGGGATGTGCAACAGTTCACCGACAATATTTATCACGGCGCGATAATAAAAGTGCAAGGTTCACTCATTCTTGACGTGTACGGGCTCTATCCGGCTTTTGCAGCACGTGCCGCGTGCCTCTTTTGAACCTGTTCTTCCATTAAGGACGCCGCTGCGTCGCATCGAGCGGAATCACCTGACAAATCTCTGATAAATAGTTCGCCACGACCTTATCGTAGACCTCCTCTTCATTGTGCAACGAGTAGACGAAGCTATCGCGCACGAGCTTAGATAATTATTTATTGCGAACCCGCTCTACGCTGCGAACAGCAATAATATTTTTTCAGATTTTCGCACAGTTTCCGATTTTTCTGATTCTTCGGATGATTGTCATTCTAGTTCTAATTCTTCCGTATTGCTATAATTCGACTGCGAATCTTCATGCAACATAATAAATTAATCGCAAGATGCAGGAACTATATAGACATACCATCCTTTATTTAATTATATATCTTATTGAGTTAAAAATAGTGCAATGATATTTTCAAATTCCTTAAACCTTTTTGCTGTTTTCTGTTCGATCTATACATTTTCATCATGGACGCATAAAATCCGCAGTCTAGTTATAATAGTAACTTTTCGCATGATTGTGCCAGCTTTAATTCTTCCGAATCGTTATGATAATGATTAGACTGCTGATTTTTATGTAAAATAAAAATTCATCGATTGCGACAAGGATAAGTCAAACAAAAATTTCTTTCTTACTTCAATAATATCAGTGAGCGTGAATAATACATAGCTGACCCTAAATTTTTTAAATATGTCCATTGTTTCAAATTTTACCTAGCCATTTTTGTCACAAATGCATAAAGTCCGCAGTCTAATAATAACTCTCCAGATCCCCGTGCACATGTCCATTCTCTCGAACCGTCTGATAAAAATCGGAATGATTTACCGTGGCCAAGGATAAAATAAAATGTTGTCACATTGTCGCAGGAACAAATAATGATCACGAACGCGCACCTCGAACGAGCGTTTCAAATATTCATCGGCGACTAAAAGTAGATCGCAGACTGGAATTATTAAAGCGCGTTCGAATTAAAACCCTGAAACGAGCGGAGTCCTTGCATTATATCGAGATAATGTTCCGATGCATTATACAATGATCTTTTCCCGGTGCGTCGCGCAGGGCGCCTCAAAGGAATCGTTGCTAATCGAATAATTCATTATTCGATCAAGGCCGGAGATATCGCGGAGGGATCGCGACTCCAGATCGAGCGGCCGCCTATCTGGAAAATATACAGAGTCGTCTGGTTCTTAGAAAGACCGTCGATCGAGATCCGCGGCGGCGATAAAACTGTTGTTCCTATGTCGTTTCATGAAATTTTCTTCGGAGACCCGATCAGTTTTTGACGAGGCATGCTCCCGCAGAATCGGTGAACCGCGATCCAATCGTTGCCGCAATCTCCGATGGCTATTTATATTCTTCTCGTGACTTTTTTTTTCTGCTCGTACATTTTCTATGAGAACAGGGTTCCATACATCTGTGCATAATAGACGAGCCGGTAAAATACACGGTTCGGTTTCAGCGCGATCAATTATTCCGCGTTCGTCGTGTACCGATTTACTTTTGCTTTGTGTCCCGCCGCGATAAATGAAACCATTAAATCACTCTCGCCGGCGAGATACTATTTATTCGCTATTGCACGCTTTCCGATTGACCACGAACGAGATTACGTTCGTTGTCAATTTCTCGTTCGTTCGATTTCAGCCACGTTTCGTCCGTAAATTAAACTTTTGCCGAAATTGTGATTCCGCTTTGCAAAGTTGTATTGAAATAAGAATCATCGTAACGCTGTGAACATTTTATAGGAATTAATATATAAAAGATTTTGCGTTTTTATCCATGTACATATTTTACATTATTATCTTAAAAGATAATAATTTAGTGTCGCCGTATCGACCACATCGTTCGCGACTTATTACAATTACCACAAGAGAAAGGACATTTTCATCCAACTTATATAATTTACAATTAACTTGGACAGTTTCTACTTTGCACGAAGATCCACAGTCTAATCGTTAATATCGTAATCAAGATTCGAGCAATGAAGTGGTTCCCGAAGGAAAGAGTAATGTTGTGATCGACCGATCGATGCCGTCAATGAATAATCCGTTGTTGGCAAACGGCAGCATGAATCAGCAAACGATCGAAACATGGTCCGTTTTCTCGAAGACGCGCATCGAACGGTCCGCAATTGTTCGAGCGTACGACACGTAAACTGCCGCGACGCTGAGTCGATAAGCCGATTCCAGTTTCCAGGCCTGCGGACACCGAGCTTCCGTTCCGCTTCCATTCGAGACTTCGATAGCCGCTTAAACGTGCCGCACCGATTAAAGGCAACGTTTCCGGTCGTTCTTCTACCACGAGTAATCGTTCCAATTACTCGGAACCAGTTGAAATCCGAATCGTCGCTGGTCCGCGGGTAAATTCGACCCGGCGACAGGCCTCGCGTGACGCGAACGCGACGCGTTCACCGGCTCTGCGAGTGACAACGCCGACGGGAAACGCTATTATCAGGAACACGGCTCTGTCGGATCCAGACGTTTCGCTCGGGACATGCTGCGACTCGGATGCGAGATCTAACAAAGCAGTTCCTTAAATTGTGTGTCGCTTGCGCAGAAAAATGAAGAAACGCGAAGGGTATGCGATATCTCTTGCAATTTTAAAACGAGACAGTTCATCTCGTGCAATTTTATAGAATTTGCTACGTCGTTGAACATAGTTTTCTTCTTCAAGAAATTTCTTCTTCAAGATTAACCTCTTCGCCAATTTCGGAGTCGATTGATTTTTAATTGCTGATGCAAATCAAACCTACTGAAATGAACTCCTCGTTCAGCTCGCAATTCAGCTCGCCGTTTTTTGATTTCGAGAATTTTTCACATAGAATGTAGTGAGAATATTGGTGAACTATTGGGAACATACAAGTTGGCGCATAGAATACTTTAAGAAGAAGAAAAACAAATTTTTCAATTTTTTATGTTGTTTTTTACACTCCTCGGATCGAACATGATCTCCAGTAACATTCTGATCGTTAGAATACACTCGAAAGACGTTTGCGAACACCGAGACACTGCGGACGCACTCTTTTCCTCGGACACTCTGAAATTAATTTTCAAGCCAGAAGTGCTGAAAATGTGTTATGTAAATGCGGTGTGTCGTTTTGAACCAGCCACTGAGAAAGCTGGGCCGGCCGAGCCTCGGTACAGGTGAGCAGAGCAACGTCACAGCGGCGGAAGTTTGCCCTGAGACGCGTACCGGACTTCCTCTTCTGCAAGTATGGCCGAGCGATTCGCCGAGGGGCGAGGCCGATGGCCAGGCACAGGCGTTTGTATTCCCCGATGTACAAGAGAACGTCAACGACAGCGGGATCGAGTCCATACAGGTACCAATCACTGGAACCGATTCCGTAGGTACCAACAAAACGATCTTTGTTAAGCTTCAACACCGATAAACCGTTGCAAAACGGGCTGCACTGCTGATTTTTGCGCACTCCGACATCTCCGAACCCACGAGACTCGACAATGATTCTTAATCAATTTGCCGCATTGTAAATATATTTTTCCTTAAATCGCTTCATTCGACAATCACATGAATTATTTGCCACCTGTATCATTCGCCAATTTTATTCATCAATATTATTTGTCAATATTATTTATTAATATTATTCAGCAATATTATTCATCAATATTATTTGTCAATATTATTTATTAATATTATTCAGCAATATTATTCATCAATATTATTTATTGATATTATTTATTAATATTATTCAGCAATATTATTCATCAATATTATTTATTGACATTAGTCATCAATATTATTTATCAATATTATTCATCAATATTATTCATCAATATTATTCACCAATGCTATTCTCAGCAATATTAATCAACAATATTATTCATCGATATTATTCATCAATATTATTCACCAATATTATTCCCCTGTATTATTCACGTATATTATTCATCAATATTATTCATCAATATTATTCATCAATATTATTCACCGATATTATTCATCAATATTATTCATCGATATTATTCACCAATATTATTCACCAATATTATTTCCCTGTATTATTCACGTATATTATTCATCAATATTATTCATTAATATTATTCATCAATATTATTCACCAATATTATTTTCCTGTATATTATTCATCAATATTATTCATTAATATTATTCATCAATATTATTCACCAATATTATTTTCACGTATATTATTCATCAATATTATTCATGACTATTATTCACCGATATTATTCCCCAATCATTCGATCTTTTTCGATACAGAAAGTGAGCTCAATTAGCTTCCTACTGCAATTTAAGTTGTCAAGGTTGATGTTGAGGGGTATCAATATTATTCATTAATATTATTCACCGATATTATTCATCAATATTATTCACCAATATTATTTTCCTGTATATTATTCACGTATATTATTCAATATTATTCATGACTATTATTCACCGATATTATTCATTGATATTATTCACCAATCATTCGATTTTTTTCGATACAGAAAGTGAGCTCAATTAGCTCCCTACTGCAATTCAAGTTGTCAAGGTTGATGTTGAGGGGTAGTATTTTTGTGACGCCAGCTCTTAATCGATGCAGCATGAAAAAGGCTACTATCGATAAAATAGAAATAGTGATACCGAAAAGACATTTTTAACCAGGAATTTTAACATTCTTTTTTTTTAAATTTAATGTTCTTTCATCGGAATCAAATACGTAAATCGATGGAGTAAATAAATGCAATAAATTCAAAGCGATCTTCGCAAGTTTGGAAAATGTTCTAAAGCCCTACATTTCTGTGCAAACTGTCTTAACATAAAAATTAAAAGTGACTACTTCAGAAAATTAGTTTCGGTAATTCAGTTGAGAGAATGATCTTTATTCGTTTAAAGAAGGGTACGAGGCGAAGCTCTTTTATATAATAATATAAGATGGCTACTTCAGAAAATTGATTCTTGTAATTCCGTTAGAAATTGTAAGGATCCTCGTTCATTTAAGAAATTGAACAAGGTCCTGGATTGAAGTGTGATGCTTTTCCGCATAAAAATCTGAATTGACTGCTTCAGAAAATGTTTATCTTTGCAATCCAACGAGAAGTTAGAACGATCCTCGTTCATTTAAGAAATTGTACGAAGTCTCGCAGTTGAGGGAGATATATTTTTTTTATATACAAATTATATAAAATTCGAGACATTTCAGAATATTCGTTTCAGTAATTCAATTAAGAGTTCGAGCGATCCTCATTACTTTAAGAAATTGCACGACGTCCTGCATTCAAGTGTAAGGCTGGGAAAATCGAAGGCACTTGAAAACATGAATTTTGTGGAGTTTCGAGGAACGGAGCATGTCTTATTTTTCCGGAGGATTGGAGACAGCGTTTCGATGGAGGATTCCAACAATTGTTGCAGGCATCGCCGTCACCGTGTGGCGTAGCAAGCACCAGCCCCGCGGCGACGCCCCAGCAATCCCGTCGCGCCAGTCTACTGCATCCGGACCATGCTCGACTGCAGTTGCACCATTTGCATCACAATCACCACAATTCCGGGACTAAGAGTCCGCCGACACCGGACCGAACGTCCGTCGACGAGGAACCACCCCCGCTTCCGCCGAGTCCCTCGAGTTCAACCACCAGCAGCCTTCGCTCGATGCCCAGCTCTGCAATCACGTCGATGCACTCGCAGGACAGGAGACGCAGCAGCAGGTCATTGTTATTTCAATTTTACGCAAATTGTACAATTGTTAACGCTCGACTTACGAAGCTCTGAATGCGTTTCGTGTGACATTTTATTGCTATTCGGGAAAGCAACAAGAATGCATATTTTTTTTAAATTTTCGTTAAAGAGATTTTCATAATTATACTTTTCATAATCATTTTCACAGTTATACAATTGACGATGTTTATGAGGATTTTCAGCTCTGTCCATCAATTTTTTTCAAATATATTTTTTATAAAATGATAAGTCACTTCACGTAGACTTCTGTTGTTTCTAGTGTATCAGCCATTTATTTAATTGAATCGCCGAAAATTTACTAATTAGGTGACGATTTAAATACATGATTTAAATACACGATTTAAATATAGTAAAAATGACCCAGCCTGAGGGTCAATAAATTCAGAATGCAACAAAACGGCAGGTATTTCCAGCGTTAATGATTTCACACAATTTGCAATCTTCATCTCCTTCGTTACTTTCAATCTATCGCTTATCCATCATTCTTTCCAACATACATTCGACGGCACTTTATCTCGATTGATCGCACTCGATCGTACATCATTCAAATAACGACATCCTTCGCTACCCTGGATCTATGATCCTCCGACGCCGAAAATTCTCAGTACGGACGATGAAATGAAACAGCGAACAGCTGTTTAGGAAAGAACAACCGCGATAAATCGTAACACGGTTTAAACAATAAATCAGTTCTCCGATTCGATCTCTGTTCCGCGATGCTCGTGCAGATACTTTCAAACAGAAAATACGACCGGCGATCTTAATGCGTCGAGTCCCGCGATGTCGCACCCCACGTGGCGACTCCTCTAATCCACCCCTAATCTATCCACACGAACTCGAATATTGTATACATATGTAAAGGATCCGTAACGATGGAACAATATTTGCACGACTTCGTTCTCGTTCAGTTACCCGATCCTCATCTTAATTAATCGATCGATACCTGAGCTACTACACTTCGGTATAGTTCGTGGTCGCGCCCTTGGCATTGATCGTGCCGTGTCCGCCGTTATCACACGATCGAAAATTATATCCGTCGGCTAATTACGGTCCTCAAGGCTCTTTTTATTTCGCGGAAGCCTCGAACCCCGATCAAGAAACTAAAGTTACCTATAGAGCGTACAGGAAATAATTAGACTGCGGATTTCATGCATTCATGACACACGTTATTGTATTATTGGCGACGTTCGATAGCAGCGTCACAGATGTGTGGCGACCACGATTTTGTATTTCACGTGAAGAACGTCAAATGAATGTTGTCAATATCATTATTTAAAATTGTAATACGATTGACATACACTTGAAAATCTAGGTGTTATAATATATAATAATGTATGTCTCATGATAACGTAAAAGTCGTTTTATATAACTTATTCTAAAAATATTGTTTGCGTTGTTTTTTGTTTATCTGGTTTGTTACATTTTTCATACTTCTCTTTTTTTCAAATTTCCTTCTTTTTGCTTCTAATTCATTTCTTCCGATTTCTTCTGTTTTATCCTTCCTGAAATTAATTTTATTTACGTTGTGTCTTTTCCTATTAATATCTTTTTCAAATTTATTTATTTATTTATTTCTTCTTTTAACACATTTTTATTTAACTTCGGTTTGCTACACATAACATAGAAACGTTTCATATTGCACAAAGATCCGCAGTGTAATTATAAAAATGATCGTCGGATGTACATCCAGGCTTCGGACAAAGTCGAAACAATGATCCCAAGGAAGAGCCGTTCCATCATCGGTACTCTAGGTCGGTGCATGAGTGAAAGTGGCGGGCGTCTGATGACTCCCGATCCGTGAAGCATTACGTCACAGGGAAAGTGGAGCTAGAAATAATCCCTCGGGCTCACCGGCTGATGTATTCTGACGTCGATGTTGGCTCGTGTCAAGGCGCGACCCTGGCACCATGCAAATACGGCGACGAGCAGCCACCCCGAGCACGTGGCGAGCAATACACCGCTCCCTTTTATTGTACCCGGCGGTGATATTAATCGCAGCCCCGCTGCCAGAATAATTCACGGGCGATTGTTCACCAGCCTGTCACAAAGACAGAAATTAGAAATCGTTCCGCGGTTCTGGTCCTCTTCATCGGCCGCTCTTTTCATTCCTTTTCCCTCCTGCCAACGTTGCCCGGGAACTTTCAAGGGTGGAACCTTCACCTACACATCGAATCGATCCGGCAAAGCACTCGGTTTCAGTTTCATTCGAGAGCCTTTTCACTGGCCACGAGTGCCTGCCTAATGGCAGGAAGTTTGAGGACGAACTTGGGTACCGGCCCCTGTCGTGTACGCCCCTGACAGGAAACGTTCCTTATTGCCACGGACTAAAGACAAATTCTGAAGACAATATCTGGGTCTGCGTGGGATGTCTATCTATTTACAAATTGTGTAACCTCATCTTGTGTACCTAGAAATGGTTGACATTGTCTCCTACCTGTTACGTTCCTGAGAAGAAATATGTTTTTCTAGCTGTAGATTTTATTCGAATAAAGAATTATGCGAATAATTTATTCCACTAAATGTATTGAATAATGCATAATCTCTATTTCGTTGCTCGAATAAACTATTCGACTAAAAAGACTTCATTCGAATACGATTTTATTCGAATAAGAAATTCGTTCGGATAAAATTTTATTCGAATAAAGAATTATGCGAATAATTTATTCCACTAAATGTATTGAATAATGCATAATCTCTATTTCGTTGCTCGAATAAACTATTCGACTAAAAAGACTTCATTCGAATACGATTTTATCCAAATAAGAAATTCATTCGAATAAAATTTTATTCGAATAAAGAATTATGCGAATAATTTATTCGACTAAATGTATTGAATAATGCATAATCTCTATTTCGTTGCTCGAGTAAACTATTCGACTAAAAAGACTTCATTCGAATACGATTTTATCCAAATAAGAAATTCATTCGAATAAAATTTTATTCGAATAAAGAATTATGCGAATAATTTATTCGACTAAATGTATTGAATAATGCATAATCTCTATTTCGTTGCTCGAATAAACTATTCGACTAAAAAGACTTCATTCGGATAACTGCCTTAAATAAATATTTCTTCGAAACAATTCGAATAATGCCCAACTCTGCTGCACGAATCCTGAGAGTCTCGCGATTTTCCTATGATCGACGAAGTACTAATCCGGCCTCGATCAACAGGTACAGCATGTTCGACCTGGACCTGGAATACGCCCTTCTGAGGGCGGCTGCACGCGGCTCCGTGGGCCCATACTCGCTCTCGGAGTCCCTGCACAAGCTGACCTTCACCCAGAGCCTGGCGTTCCCGGCCCTGGCCCGCGGTCTCGCCTCGAAACAAAGCATCCCGACCAGGAGGCCCCAGCAGCACACCGAAAGCGGACTAAACGCCTTCGCGAAAGTGGTGACCGCGTTGGTTCTCGTTCTAGTCAGCGTGCTGGTCTTCGGTGTGGTGTACAAGTTCGTGAGAACGTGAGGCTGGCTGCTGGTGCCGGATCGACAGTCTGCCGCGTCGCAGGAGTTCGATCGCTCAGGCGCCGGCGATCCTCTCGACGATTGACTCGGTCGAGCTTCTGGTTTATTTCGATGATCGATGTTCGACGTAGCGCTGGACAGCCGGGGAAATCGTTGGTTCGGGGCGTTCGAGCTGGTTTCGAGAAGTTTGAGGTGGTCTCGAACGGTTTGAGAAGGTTGGAAGCTATTTGATAACGTCTCAAGCGGTTTAGAAACACTCGAGGAAGGCGAAGAACCTGTGGAACTCGAAGAGAAACTGACAGACCAGTGTTCGTAGATGGTTTGCGAATGTTTCCGGACAGTCTGAAGGTGTTTGACGAGTTGATGTCGAGAGAGCGAATGTCTGCAGACGAAATTGTAGTAGTAAGAGATCTTACGGTTGATGATTCGGGTCGCTGTACCGACTTCTCGAGTTCTTTCGCGGCGTTTGAAGACGTTCGAAGGTGCTTGAAGAGAAGTCATTCGGTGAACCAATGTATAGCGTATTTTGAAAGGAAGTCGAAAAATCGAGGGGAGCTCCGAGTTTCGAAGGCGTTTGAGTAAGTTTGAAGGAAGTTCGAAGATGTTTGAATGATAACCGAGCCTCAAACTCGCCGGAAAGAGGACAAACCGGTCCCGGGTAGTTCGGACTCGTTTGTGAATTTGGCGGAACCTCGGAATTAGTCGAAAGATAGAACGTAACGAACGAGCTTGATCGGAAACAATAAAAACCGCGGGATTTAAATTTTGATACGGTGCTGACTAATCAGGAACCTTTCGTAGCGACGTCGGCGAGCGTTTTTACTGCGAGAATGAGAGAAGTTCCGCGTCGGCGGGCAGCGCGCGTTGACGAGAGAATTCGCCGTTAACGATTTCACGCGAACAATTTCAAGTAATCGGCTAGAATTCGCGCATTGACTCGCTTGCTTGAGTAATCCACGTGTCGGCAGGTGTAACCCGCGACCCTTCAAGTGCTTTACACGATCCTCTGCGCGATGACAATCGCGTACGACGTTCCAGGCCGCCGTTTTTACGCGGACGCGTCGACGGATATCGCCGCTAATTCCGAGGAGTCGAGTCGCTTCGGCAATTAACGGCCGCGGATCGACGAAAATTTTTCCCATTTTCGGAATGATTGGGCAACTTTCGAGTTGTCGTCGACGAGACTCGAAGCCCGCGGAATGTTTCCTAGAATTTTCTTTCGTCAGATCTGCTTCGTTTCGATGCACACCGGCGGCTCGAAAATGTTTCGTCGTCGACGAATGATTTCGACCAGAGAGGATACAGACATTACCTGCGAAAAGAATTATGCACTTTCTGTGTCTTGTTAAACGAGGATACAGCTACATCGACAGTGCATGGCAATCGACAATCACGAAACAGAAAACTGCAGCTCTTTTTCCGAATTGAATCTTTGAATAAACGGCGTCGAAAACGGAGAAACATTTTCGGACTACGGTGTTCGGATTTCAACATCGATCGATCGTGGATGAGAAAAAAAAGAGTCGTTTCTATCTGATACACAAGTTTGAAATGATCAATTTCCTTAAGAGATTTCTAAACAGCATTTTGAACGAAATTCAAGAGGATTTTTCCCAAGCGTACTGTTGATACTTTGCACAAGATAATCGTGAATTATATATACGTACATATATATGCTATATGTATATTGTAATCGCGTAGAGTTTGTTCCACGAAATGCGAACATGAAAGTAATAATTTGATCTGCTGTTAACGAATCGCAAACTAAAACAAGAAGTCAGCGATTTCTTTAGATAGGTTGCAGCGTGATAATTGTACCCGCGTCTTTTGGAACAGCCTCTACCCGACGAACGTTGCGTGAACGCGTTTCTTCGACGTTGTCAAGGAACCAACATTCCGAAGTGAATTCCAACGAAACTCGATCACGGCGGCGAGCGATTACGCTCTCGATCATGGTCCTCTTTTAATGTGCAACATTGGAGGAACCGGCAAGCAGCGAGTGCGACAGGATTCTTTTTTACCTCGAAAATCAAAGCCACGGTCACGACGATTTGTAAAAACGAGGGGAGGTCACCCAGAATCGCGAATATTTTTGCAGGAAGCGTTGCGAAATTTCTATCCGGAGATCAGATCGCGATTCGATCACCGTTCTCGCTCACGTAGATCCACGATTAAGAAGCTCGCGTTAAGTAAGCCGATCTCTCTCCGTTCCCCTTCTTTCCCTCGATCGATTCTATTTTTTGACGATCGTACGGCTAACGGAAAATCGATCCCGATTTTTCTCCGATCGATCCGGTTCTTCCGGCTGTAAGTTTTTGAAAATTACAGAACGAAGTTCTCGATCCGCGATCGGCAAATCCAGCTTGCCCGACCATAACGATTCTCGTTCTACTTAAACCGAAATTGTATACTCGACACGATTCGCAGACATTCAGATTCCTTGCGCGATTTCGTACGAACGCAAGTTTCATATTTCAGCCTACGTTTTACTAAAATATTTCGATTAAAACAACGGTCCTTCGAAACTTCGATCCTTCCAGCGGAGGACCAACCGATTCTCGATTGCAAATTTAACGGACCACGTAGCGTGGTCCTAAATCTCATGTATGAATCTTGTTACCTAAGAGAAAATAAACGTTCATTTATAGCAAACATCGACTCGCTATATGAATGGGTTAGAATCATAATGGTGCTCCATTTTCGACGATTTTGGTACTTGTGCCTTATAATGTAATCTGTATGTATCGAAATGTTAAAAGGGCAAGCAAAACAAATTATAAAGTTACTATGAATTAACTGTACTCTGAATGAACTGAACTCTGAATTCATTGAACACTGAATTAACTGAACTCTAAATTATCTTAATAATAAACACGATCGGTAAAAAAACAATACACATGTTAGTAAACAATGATATTCGTGACTTGTCGCGATCAGGAAAATGTGAGTTACGCCACTATGATTCATATCACCTTCGCAAACTGTCCTCGCCCGCAATTATCCTTCGGACCTACACAATAATCAAACTCATAGCAGCTTGATCTATAAAACTCACTTAACCCCTTGCACTGTTTTGTCCGTACGTTCGGTTAGTCGCCTAACGTACATGCGCGACCGAACTATTGTACGCTCGATTCGCGCTTCCTACGGCAAATTAATGACGTGGAAGGATCTCTAGTAGTCTTAGAGAACTTTATTTTTTGTGTTGTACTCTCTGCGAGCGCTGGTGGAAGAATGCTCTTCCAACGCTGGAAAGTCGTGGAAGAGCACCCGTGGATGGAGGTAGATTGTTTATTATTGGTCAAGGCACGAATCACCCCTTGGAGGGGGGTGTCTGCCTTGACCCTTG